TATAATTATCGCGGTATTCGCGTAGACACTTTTAGTGGACTTGTTTAATCTCTGTCACTGGTGGCAAATGCCTCGGTTCTAGTGTCACAATGTTAACTGACGAACAGTCACACACCATTTAGTTCATCACCACCTATTGTTTCTCGTCTCCTTCTTCGGGCACAACATCCACTTTCCTGTCTTGACCACTCCTATCCAAGTAACCAGCTAGCCTTAGTCAGTTATAAGGCACAATGGATCAGATTGTCTCGACCTGAAACTTGTCACTTCTTTGACAGGCAGATGATGATGACGATGCCTGTTGTGCAAACGCTGCGCCCCTGACCAAAGATGACAATTGTCAATCTCCACGGTTAGTTCAGCGGACACGGTTGCACTGCATTGTTCCGCTGTTTGCCAGGCGGAAGACGATTGGGCTGTGATCAGCAACACAAGCTACAACAGGAACAAATTTACCAAACCAAACTAATGCTCATTCTGTCGTTGATTTCGTTTCACTTGATTTTCATGTGCACCAGTCACAGGTACTTCACAAAACAGTTCAACTCTCCCCTCTTTTCCTCCACTTATCCTCCGTCTGTACCGGGAATTCCGCTATCCATGTATCTTTATCACGTGGAATATTGTACGGAATCTTGTATGTGATGCCTGTTAGTGTGACAAGAGATATCCCGGAACGGTTGGATTACTGTGATCCGCGTATAACGAGACAGTGTTATTTGTCCATATGAATACTCTTAAACTCATCCTTGCTTCTTTATGACCAATTCGTGAATTGGCCCTAGAATGGAGTGCATAAACAGGAAATTTCGAAGGTAGAGGAGTGGTAAACTACTTGACCAGTAGGTTAAGACATTCATGATACCCATTGTTATTGATTTTCATTTAAATCCAAACCACAGATACTTGGTTTTGACGCACAATCCTAATTTTATCCACACATTTCACAATTCAAGTTGTCCAAATATCATTTCAAGGCATCTGAGCATCAGTTCAATTTGAAGCGTTACGTTATTTCCATCTCAGTTTATTTGCTAGAGATATCTCATTCTATCCTAGATGTGTGATCAAAATGGTTATTTTGATTGTCCAATACTTGAAGGGTAGAGTCCTTGTTGGTGCTCCAACGGCAATAACACAGAGATTGAATTATAATCCGTCAGCCTTGCACAAACTGGATGTGAATCTGGCTGTCTTAACTCGATCGAGCATGATTGATTGGTGTCGCAGTTCAGCTGTTTCAGGTGTAGCTCACGGGTTTCACTGCAGCAGCATCATTCGACGACGGACCCCTAAGCAATAGCTCAAGCGCACTGATCACACATGATCCATCGGTGTCAGCGGAGCACGACCCGGATGGAGACGAACACACACACAGAAGCGTACCGGCCAGGTACACAATCAAGAAATGTCATGTGAATCGGGGCATGTGTGGTCTAGGCACGTTTCACGATCGTCACCCCCGCGCTTCAGCCGGTGGTTGAATAGTCTATGCTTCATGATGGTCATCCGGATGTCTTTCGGAGGGTTGAAAAACAACGTGGGCCTGGTAGCTTCGATGACGTTTACGAGACAGCTTGAAGTGGTGCTCAGATGTCTTACAATAATATTCGGACAACTAGAATTTGCAAAAGGTATAGTCAGACCTAAACATGTAACCGTTCGACTGGAGTCTCGCTGTTGCTAGAGCTCATCGATAACTGATACTTGTCGGTTCATCCATGGTTCGAATGGTAGACCCCTCATTGTCGTGCGACCGACCGATTGATTATCTGTTTGAAGAGGGCATCTAAACAAAATTGGATCATCGATTTCGGTGGCCTCGGAATAAAGTGGTTTGCATAGTACCAACACGCACCATTTATACTGGGGTTCCCGAATTTAACTACCGGGTGGAACCTGAGCGTAGAATTGAATGTTTAAACTGAGAATTGTACGTGCAGATTAAATCGAAATTAGTAGCCGCTTATTCAATTCATAGGTATTGATAGCTAACTGTAAGTAAAAGACGATACCAAATTAATTCACAATAAGACTGCATTTCTAGCACTCCACTGTTTATGGATTTCAGCAACCATTACTACTGTTATAATTCCACAATACTACTCACAGGTGTGAGTAGTGCAGCACGACACGTCGATGACTCCCGTTGCCGCCAGTTTTCAAACAAACAACGTTAAGTTGTCAATGCACTTGTACCACTCCTGTGCATTTTCCCAACCTATGAATGCAGTACGGCCGACCAGTCAACTGACAGCTGTGCTCTTCCAATAACGTCACACTTGAAGGAGATTCCGTCACGTAATCGTTCTATGCTGTGTGTGATTGGTTCCTCTTTATAAAACCTCTTTTCCCTTTCCATGTCTTTTTGAGCCAGTGGAACAAAACTTTCATTTTTGTGTGTACTGGATCGATCTCGTGCCACGAAGCTTTTGTACCATGCTTTTTTAATACACAGATTCCGGGTCCAGATAAGTGTGTAATTTGCGTTTCGAAAAGCTTGCAGTGGAGTTTGGTGAATCGACTAATAGGTGAAAATCCAACTCTTATGAGGTTTCTGCAATGAATGGATGAAGCGGAAACCAATGGGCCTAGGAAAGAAGCGCATGTAAGCCTCTTAAAAAGGCGGTAGATTCGATCACATTTTTTAACCCATCGTGATTTATTCACCATCGATCTCTGTCTCTCTTTCTCACACATGACTTTTCAGGTTTACATGGGCGGAGAACTGATCTGTTTCGTTTCTTATTGTGAATTTTTACCCATGCACAATGTGCTCACGGCCATACACACACACAAGTGTAGTTACACCATCGCTCCGTGCTAATATGGTGCATATCAGTTAGCTGATTCTGTGTTTGTTTTGTTTTTACCTCATCGTCTGAACGGATCTATTGCCACACCCCTCAAGTGAGGTCAAAACTAGGAGTAGGGAGCATGTGTTTAACACAATCGTTCTGGTTTCACACGATCAGCGGGACCATTCTGCACGGTTTTGTGATTGTGTTTCAACCTGTGCCCACAGAGTGCATTACCTCCCCGATTCTCTCTCTCGGTTGTCTCGAGGAACCCCAGCTGACTCGAACCGTTTGCTCCAATATATTTTAGTGTGTAAACCGCACATTGAACTTCCGTTTTCACAGCTCCATAACCCTTTTAGGGGTGTTTTCTCGCCACATTCCTTTCCGAACCGGGCTAAATTCGATGACGGTCACCTTTGGTGGAATTGAAGTGAACTGTCTTGATGTGTCTCGATTAACGTCCAGTATTCACTGAATTTTTCGGCCGGTGATTAAACTGAGAGGCTATCGGAGAGTCCCGCTTCGAAGGCCGTTTGGCCACTATCGCCTACATTGTAATGTGAGCATCCGTTTCTGATGATTTTTTGCGGTTGTTTGTTAGGTGTAGGGATGGAGGGAGTCTGGCTTGTGGCAGAGCATGGTTCGTGTCCACCGGCGTTGACCGCTGAGAACGGTAGTCTTCCATGGATCATCGCCAGAGGTGGCTGATGGCGATGTGATCGATTTAAGTCCATCGTTACAAAGAGGTGGAGGTTTCCGTATAAGAGGAGAGCATCTGTTTTTCTTTCAATTATGTGGATTCTGCTTCAATAACTGAACTGGTTCCAGCCCAATCCATGATCATTCGATAAATCTATTCTACTCATTTCCCTTTGTTTGGCTCACTGGGGGCATTTATTCACTTCCTGCTACACAATGGAATGGACTTCTTTGCGAGCAGAGAGCGAAAGCGGATGCCACCAGTTTCAATCTGTTTCCTCTCTAATCTCCACAATCTCCCGGCTGAAAAATTCATGCTGTTTTGAATATCAACAAAGCATACCGCCTTGCAATCGGATCAGTGAAGTTCCGCAAAGCAGTTTAGAGAGTTCAGATAACAACCAGAACAAAAAAAGACTTGATGTTCAATATTTTTTGTGCTCATCACGGTGACGTGCTTTGTACTACTTCCCAGAACACAATCATCCTTTCCATACTGGTGATACAACATGATCTTAAGTGCTCTCTTTGCACGTGCTGGGCAAGGCTGGAAGAAGCGGCACGGCGGTCAGACCATGACATGAGCTAGAGGCATGAAGAAGCTGGCCTCAGCTTTGGCTTCAGTTGGTGCAGCCCGCCTTCCAGGTTGGGACCCAAAGGATGAGTAATGTCGTTGGTTAGAGACGCTGAGAGATATGACCCAGAATAGAAGTCAGTGGCGAGAATGTTGTACGATCTACCTGTCGAAATCCCGTGCCTCGTAAAAAATAACAACCAAAAAATATCAAAAGGTGTACGGTGAAACACAAACATTTTTGTTATTCCAGATATTTTCCATTTTCCCGTGTTCAACTGTTTCACCCTGTTCTGTACTCCAATCCACCTGTCCCCTTTCATTTTTATTGCCATTATTGTTGTTGCGTTGGCACCATGCTTGTCTACAAGCTGGTGGTATATATATATATATATATATATATATATATATATATGTCAAGTTCGTGTATCTGCTGGAGGTCTTGAAATGGTTCCGGATTATCAGAGTTTTCTCTGAGTGACCGTCTATACATAATGATGCTCCAAATTTCACTGCTCTTTACTAACCCCTGATTTGTCATGATCTTCCATAACGTCCTCCATTGTTAGTTCCACCATTGTCTGGGAAACATATTGATACTCTATTTGCCATCATTCTTCCTCTTCTCAACCGTGTCAGGGCCACGATTGTGCAGCACCAAAGACTTCCTCCGCAACGAGTTCGAGGAAAAGACACCTTGGTGAACGGCGCCACAGAACCATCACTTATCCGGGACACAGACGATTCGATCCAAATGTCCGCGGTGCATCGGATCAATGGTTGGTCACAGCAACACATAATCGGAGATGGCATGTCCACTGTGGTTGACGGTCAGAGTATAGTGACAAGTGTGCAGCCTCCACGTCAAATGTCTCCTGACAATTTCATGATTGGTGGAGTAAGTTCGAACACGCGCTCCCGGTGTTTCGAAATTTGCTTTGTCTTTTCTCTAGTCCTTCAGTAGAATCTGTTGTTCTTATCAAAGCTAATATTTTGCTGTATCCCTGATTGTGAAGATCCCCTATTCATGTGAATGTATCTTAGTATGTACGCATATTTGTGTATGTTGATCTCTTTTTATGCATATGTATATCGTTTTTTACCAGTTAAGTTATCATATTATCACTTCAAAACCTGATTCGGCAACTTACCAATTCACTTGACGTCGTAATCTTCCATTTACTTCCTCCCTGCTCCCTCTCCCACATACACTCGTCGTATCGCGTTCTTCGAATCACACAGACTCACATATTCCACTATCAGGAAATGACACCTGCCCAGCGTGCACTCCTGGTCACCATCAATGAGGATGTGGAAACATTGCAAGCAGCGAAAGAGCAATTACAAATCGGTCCTGCCGGGGAACGGGTTCTGCTCGGGGTCGGTTCGGACGAGGTAGGTCTCATCGTCTGTATGTGCTGATCTGTACTGTTCTACTGTGTTGTGTCTAAACTAACTGCGGTCAGCTCAACTTCATGTTACGCATCTGAATCGGTTTACCGAATCACACGTTCATAATTGGCGACGAGCGTATACAGCACACGATTCGTTACACACGATCTGATTAGATAGTCATTTAGTCAACCAGTTCGTCTCGAATTCTTTGATTTATCCTTATATACGGTTTTTCGTTTTGTTTTTGACGATAATGGCGCTCGAATCCTGTGCTCCTCCTCTCCTCTTCACTGATGGAGATTGGAGGGCATAGAAGAGGGTACTCATTGTGATCTGTACTATGGAGGTACAATCACAATAATATCACGGTATTATTCCCAAGTGAAAGAGTCTGGCGTTTTTCATCACTTTATCTCAATCATTCACATAAGGTTAATCAGAAAAAACAACTAATTGATTATTTACAATCAATGAAACGGGTGACCAACCGAATACTGATTTCCTGGCTTTTGTAACCAGAAAGCCATTGTACCACTAGTCAGCTTTATAGCTTGATGAGCGGTAGTAAAATTCCAGATTCTTTCTTGCACTAGACCTTTGTACCCATGGCAGTGCATATACTTTATCTTTTTTTACGTGGCACGTCCCCTAAAAAATCAGTCACATGAGAATCGAGTGTTGTCTCACCATACTTTTCACCATTTCGGAGCCACTCAACAGTCGAGCCTGGTTAGCTTCGTTTCCGAGCTTTAGTCGGTCAATAGCTTGCTGTTGTTTGGAGCTGCTGCATTTATGGTGGACGATTCAGTTTCCTGTCGCACCGCACCCATACACCGCTTTCTGTTGAAGATCGTTCAAATCAGTANGGGGGGGGGGAGGGTGAGTAAACTCCATCGTATAGAAGATTCTATTACAACTTCCTGGTGAGGCAGTGTAAACTGAGGAACATAAACTGTCCACGGGGTTGCCTCTTCGTTACTCTTGCGCACGGGGTCGGTTGCCATGGATAGCTTATTTGACATGAGACATGGTTATCATCGTACAGCGATCATTGAAAACCGACAATGCATAAAAATTGGGTGATAACATTTGTGATATAGGTGTATAGGTGTTGGACCTGTTTCGAGGGAAGGCGAAAGAAAGTGACGTGAGACACGTAAGATGAATTCCAGAGAACAACAACAACCCCGCTAATAGAACGTTTCTCGGTTTTTCTCACTCGTCTCCAATGCGCCTACGTTGATGGCAATACTGCAGTTTACCTCCCACAGACTCATCGGGGTGGTCATTTCAGTGCTATATGCACTCGAAAATACAGCACGGTTTTTTGGTAGTCAGAAATTATAATAAAACATTTTGTGTCAACCTAGAATGAACCTCACTTCAAAACCCTATTTTTACCTCTACTAACTAAGTCAAACGGCATTTTTCTCAGCTTTCTTGTCGGAGGCTGTTTCGTGCATTTTGTGATTTCAAATATTCCCTTGATTCTCTCCTCAATGAATGTGCTTTTGATCTATAGATTTTGTAAAAGCGGATCAGTCAGGCACGACTTTCATGTCCCAAATAATTCACTCATCGTCCACCCACCATCTCTCGAGTCATACGTTATGCTGCAAAACTGACTCTGCAGTGTGTGCGTGTGTATTGCCTTTGTTGACACTTTATTTGCACGAAATAATTCCCTACAGCAGGTTAACAGTTATCTGGGTGGTTTTTTGTGATACTGTTCTCAGTGAAGGTGTCTGTTTCCCTCATTTTTCCCACCGCTCCAACCAAACTAATAGACTCCATAGTTCGTTGTTAATACCACACCTAACCAAACGTGTCCACTTTTATACGTGATAGAGACCCATTCGGTCCCCTCTCACCCCCATACACATACCAAAAAGCACGATGTTAGTTAATCTCCGTGTATCAGGATACTTTTTCCAAAATTGTTTGCGCTTATTACTGCGAAAGACACGAATTATTATTTACTGTAAAAACTACTTTTCTGACTCAAATATATGGAAAATAATCGGCCAAAATGGAAAACATTTCACTCTCTTTTTTAACTGAACGTGGATCAGCAATGTCATTCGTAAGTGCGACCGACCACATCCATTTTCACTCAATTTGCTAACAGACTGATATACAGTATAAGGAACGTCAAATTGATTTGGCCTACAAGCTTCTGTTGTTATGATGAGGCTACTGTGAAAATGTCTGACACCATAAATTCTTCACTAATTCTATGTCATTCAGTTCAACCTAAATGCCCCCTGTTTGTAGACCTGTGTGAATGTTCTTGCCCTATATTTGCAATTGTTTTCTCTTCTTGTGGTATTAGAAACCTGGGGTTTTTTACAGAGAAAAATGGCCAACTGAAATACATGTGTGGTACCGTGCATACGGATTGTGATTCGAGTAGATCAACTACTGTCCCATTTTATCGATCTTTACAGGGCAGTGCAACGCATCGTATTTACTCATTCATTCATTCAAATTTTTGTCAGATCGTCTGATGCTATCGCGCTTTTTGGTTCCTCTTGTAGATGAAACACTTTTCATCCCCATTCCCAGCTGAATACCTTCTCTGAGGGGCCTTAGTACTGTGCACGATCATCACTGAGTCGTCTATCCGATCAGAAATGACACGGGTTGGTGAAAACCCGTTTGTGCTCTCCGGGTCTTAGCTCATCTTAATAATTGTTCAGTGTCGTGTGACCGGCATCGCAAGCACATACATTCAACGAAGCAAAGTTCATAATCGTATTATAGGTCTAAATCTTCCGGGGTTCGAAATTGCCTTCATCATGTCGGGAAAGGAAACGTTGTAAAACAAACTGATCACTTTGAAGAGGTTTATGTTGCAACCCTTAAATTACCACATGCTGCCCTCTTACTTCTGAATATGTTAGCTAGAATGGCACACTAGGCTTTTGCAGTTTCGTCCTGATCACACACATTCGCTCTCGTTTGATGTATCGCTTTTTGTTTTGTGGCATGTCAGAATCTTCATGAGATGATTTTGGTTGGTTAACGCAAGTGGACGTATATTTTTCTACTCGGATCTATCATGTCAAATGCTCGTACTCGGAGTCATCAGCCATGAACAACTGCACTGCGGACGGACACAACAGATTAGGTTATCACCCAGTAGAATTGCTGGCGAGGTCACACTTGGTCACAGGTTCCCATTCAGTCTTGAATGGCATAACCGGNATGTCTCATGTCTCTCGGGTATGTGGACTAACACCGATCGGAGATGGTCTCTTTGTTCCCTGGCGGAGAAAAGAAATTGTTCTCGATTTGTCTTCTGCCTTATCTGCACAGAATGCACGCTCCCTTTTTGGAATTGGATAAACAAGGCTGGAACAACAACAAAAACTGTAGAATCCAAGGTCGTCGGTCTATCGACCCATATCACCGAAACGGTTCTACTTTTGACAAACGTCTCTTCCTCGTAAAACATGAATTCATTAAGCTTTACCTGACGATGTTGGTTTCACCCGTTACTCCCCCCTCCCCTCCCCCAAGGTCACTCGTTTCAGTGAATGTTTTTCGTCGGTTTGTGTGCGCAGTTACCGTCGTGTGGTTCATTCATTGGATTGTTTCCGGCGCTCTCTAAATGGGTACATCGAAATTTGTGTCACTGTTTTGTCATTCTTTTTACGTCCCTTGGTTAATCCTTCCGTCTGATAGGTTGTAGCCGCATAGATTTTTCTCATCATAAACAAACAAGTTTAGGGAGACAATTACTCTGACGCACGCGACAGCGATTTCCATAAAATCTCAACTAATTTTGAAAACCTAAAATACTTTTTCTTATCTCAGACTTCTAGACGGTGGTTGAGCGAGTCTCTTGGAGCAAGCCAGGCCAAAGTCACCGACGAGATGGGTGCTATGAATGCTGCTGTGGCTCAAGCACTGCGATCTGCGAATCGAGCCGAGGCGTACGACGCTGGTCCACCGGCACAAACCACCCTAGGAATCAGTTCCGATCCCGGAGATGATCTCATGATGATGCAACAATCGTTCCGTGTAGTCACCATTCATTTCCCGGCGTTTGTGGATGATGTAAAGCGTGTGGCCGTGTTACGCCGTGAAGCCGGTGCAATTCGTGCGGACCAGACAGGCGAACCGATTGTTGCGGAACAGACAGAGGAATCGACACAAAATCTCCTCTCAGCCGCGCGTCACGTGGCGGATGCATTCACCGATTTGTTGGAATCTGCTCGGCCATTAGCCACGGGTCGTGTAAGTCTGTCACATGTTCAGGAGGTTTTCCTGTTTATGCCAATTTTCTTTGTCCCAGTGGAAATCTGTCTGCTATTCTGTCAGCCACAAACACCATATTTGGGAGCAGCCACAGATGACAGGACAAATTCTATCGAGCACATGCTCTCCCAAGGAGCACGATAACCTGCGTGAACTTGTGGGATTGGCTAGGGTATTGCAAGAGTCCGGACTGGGATAAACTGTTGATCCGGTTGATGCATCCGTGCGTGCATGCATTCATGTGCTACCTCGACAAGACCGAGATTCGCTCCACTGGCCTAGGCTTGCCTTTCACTCAATCGTGTCCAGGGCCACCCGTCCCCCTGATAAGCTGATTGATTTGAGGTGATGTCGAACATAAGTGTTTTCAGACGTACTGTAGGTTGCGTTGTATCATGATTGTTAGGTGTTCGAACCACGTTTCGTCCAGTTTTATACAACCACGGTTTGTTATATGCGGTGCCAACTTACCACCAAAGCTCGACCAATCTCGTTTCATTTTCTAAAACCGTGAACGATCATTATGCCGGAACGACGAAAGATATTATCGTTATTATCAATGGAGTAATAAGATCAATGGATCCTACTTCTGTATTGACACTAGTAATTTCAAAATAGCTTAGATGTTTCCGTAGAAGTACTTGACATTCAGTCCTCGTGGGTAATAACTAAAGTAAATCATCAGTGAGGTTAGCATTACTTTGACACCATCATTGTATTTGTTTTCACACGTCATCGTTTTTATTTTTCAACATATTACTATCATGGTAATATCCAAACGTTTAAAACTAGCTCTCTTGATACTCATCCGCATGGAAATAATTCGGTTTGGTATGATCCAAATCACATCACTGACATCTCAACTAGATTCTTTCCCTCCACCCTCCATTGGTCTATCCGTCAATTTTTAGACACGTGAAGAGATTATCGACGGTACGGATGAAACCGCGACTGGTTCACATGCGGTCATCACCACGACAACAACAACCACTGGCGGTCCCGTATCAAGCAGTTCACGTAAAGCGATTATCGAGGCGGCCAGTCGCGTCGGGGAGGCGAGCAATGATCTCTTGCGTCACGTGATGAATGAGGGTGTGGACGAGACGATGGAGACTACAACACATTTGCAACTGCTCACCGAGGAGGAGCGATTGTATCAGGCAAGTGGGGATGTACAATCTGTCGGTCGTCTATTTGCGTGATGTAGATGTATTCTGTAAAAATACTTTATGTAGCCGTTTATCTAGATGCTTGAG